CAGCATTATCTGTAATACTTGAAAGGCAAAAGTAACCCAGCCGTCCACCCTGGGGAACTGGACCCAGCTGTACACTGGAATATTATGCAGCCAGGAAACGGACTACATCACGGTGCATCTGCGCATTGGAATATGGTGCAGCCATCAGAATTGAAGACATAATAAATACCCGTTGAAATGGTGTCGACACTGCGTGATAGCACATGAGAAAAGTAGATTTCAAATGTCACGTAGGTAGTGTGAACCGTTTGTGTGACACCGTGCGTCCTAACAATGCGTGTGTGTATGCGAGCGGAGATTGATGGCAGCCCTGCCCCAAAATACATGGTCGTGATCTCCAGGTGGGTGGATGCAGGAGAAATTTATTCTCTGCCTAGATCTTTTGCATGGTTTGGATATTTTCCAGAAGACTGTGTTTTTAAAGCAAAATCAAAACAAAAGTCTAAATATGCAAGAAAGAACAGGCCTAGGAGCCGTAACTTTCATAGCCTCTGTGTAGAACTCTGTGTTACTCTCCCAGTGCGAGCCCGCGGACGACCCTTTCCTTTAAAATATGTCGAATTGATAGTCACCCTAATAGAACGTTCCCAGTTTTTCAAATTTTTCACAGTAGAAGTAACTACATGATTCATAAAGAATTAGGAGAAATTGAAGAAATGTACTAGAATTTTATGCCTAATAACAGAGAAATAAAATATAACAACAGAAAAACTGCCGTAGAGAATGAGGACAGGCAAGAATCTATAAAGGGAGGGATGAGAAAGTCTCTGAAAGATTGCTCTTTAAAAAAGATTTATTTATTTATGCATAAAAGAACTAGGTACAGGCCAAAGGTGTGGGGGTGAGAGGACTCCCCAGAGACAGAGTGGGGAGCGGAACAGGCAGACTGACGAAATCCACTGCTGAGGGGAGCAGCGGGCGTGACAGGAGAGGTCTGCCGCGCCATGTGGGTAGCTCCCTGGCCGGAGATCGAACTCATGCCGCAGAGGCTGCTGACAGCTTCATGGTGCTGAGACTAATCCCCGTGCCAGCAGGAAGGCCCTGAAAGATTGTGTTAAAGGGTGGAGACAGGTCGGCACAGGGATAGCACCTTATCGGGAGTGTCTTGCCTCGGTCACGAGTGGGAGACTGGCTGGACGGCGCCTTCTTTTTCAAGTTCCAAGCGTCCTAAAGGTTCTTTACTCAGACCCCACTGTCACTCTGGGCAGTGTCACTCCAGGCTGCGGGTAAGACAACTGCCCCTCGCCACCACGGAGTAGCTGCCCTGGCCCAGGAACTGTGCCTGGAGTAGCTGAACTTGAAACTCGATCCCTTCCTGCCAAGGCTAGTGTTTGCTTGTTTTGTTTTTCCTTTTGAGCACAATGGAGCCTCCCTGGCAGTAGAAAGGAAAATTATGCACCAAATAAGCAAAGGGGTAGACGTGAAAGCTACAGAAGAACGGCTGTTCATCCCGGAGAGTTTTATTTCTTCTTTGGTAGCTTAAGCATAGGAGAGCAAATTGCTTTCATGTCCATAAAATTACTGTTTTGTGGATTCGCATCATTTTCAAGTCAGATAGTGATGAATCCCAGAAAATTCTGTCCCTTTTAATCTAAGTTGAGCTTTTTTTTTTTACTTTTCAGGAGGTAAATAAACTATTCTCCCCAAACCCCTTACAATGTTGATGGGAAAATAGCGGGCACGCGCGCGGGACGGGCTTGCTGCTGCCGCGATTTATAAAAAGCCAGAATCCGGATGGTTTTCCGAGGCTCCGGGAGCAGCGCCGCCCTTGGGGCAAGTTCCAGCCGCCTCAGGTTCTCACTGTCCTGCTGTTTCTCTGCTGTCAAGCTTTACCGTCCGCACAGAAGCTTTATGAATTGAAACAAGCAGGGGGGAAAAGCCTACTCTGTGCCTGATGCCCACAGTAGGAGCTGAATAAATGTTTCCTGGGTGATGGAGTAGGTGGAACCCCACAGGCCCCCCTGGGCCCGCCATCTGCCTGGGCGCTCGAATTTGCATACGTCAGCATCTTCCTGGGTCTGGACTCACCCGGCCCGACAGGAAGGTGTAGGGTTGTTTTTGCTTCACTTTAGACGCAGATCTTAGCACAAAGAGAGCTAAGTCGAAAGCTTAAATGGCTTAATTGTGCAGCAAGTGAGAAGTTAAAGGGTCAGAGGAGTGTTAAGTAAATGAAGCTGTTTTGGAGAAAACCTGTAATGCCGCATTCCAGCCCCGGCACTGAGCCATCCCCGTGCTCCCCGGCTCAGGCCAGACTGGTGTCTGCTGACTCCAGAGCTCCCTTCCAGCTCCCAGCCTCTGCAGGGCTGCAGAGCAAGCCCCAGCTCTCCCGCGGGCGGGCCGGCTGCCCCTGGGGTGGCGCGGGAAGGCACCGGGGCACGTGCTGCTGTGGCTTTCGGCTCGTGACCTGCCCTGTCTCCTAAAAACTGTGGGCTCCGGTCATTGATGCTTTGTATTTAGAAGATGTCTGGAAATTCTGAGCCAGATTGGTGGGTCCTTTCGTGAAACCAGGGAAGCCTTTTTGGGGCAGGGAGCTCGTCTCTGGGCGTGCGCGCCAGCCGCTCCGTGACTCCGCTCATCCCGCAGGTGTCGCTGGAGCCTCCGCCTCCTGCCAGGTCTGTGTGCGGCTCCTGCAGACAGAACATGGGGCCACATTCTCGTGGGGGCACTGAAGGGAAACAAGCAAGAGGAAACTAGGTAGAATGAGTGCTGCGGGACAAACAAGGCCAAGAAAAGGGGCATTTTCAGCAGGAAGACTCCAGAAGCCTCTCTGAGGGCAGCAGGGGGACAGGGCGCCCCTGTGTTAACTGGAAGTCTCAGTGATGGTTGGACAAAGTGTTTACTCAGTCACCAAAGCGAGGATTCGAACCTGGAAGCAGCCCCGCACGCACGCTCTACTCTGCCAGAGCTGCTCCAGCAAACTGGGGTGTGATTTTAGTGACGTCGGTGGGTGGGGGGGGGGACAGGAAGCCGCGGACTGACACACGCAGTGACCCTCGGCGGGGCCCTGTCCTGCCATCCTGACCTAAAGACACGAGGGGCCATCAACAACGTCAGGGCAGGCGACCCGGGCCGGTCTCTTCCTCCCCGAGGACTGCGCCGCGGACATCACAGGCTCCTCATCCGCCTCCCGGTGGCAGTGGGGCGCGGGGCCGCTGGCTGCGGGCGGCAGCTTGGCACCGCTGTTCAGACTTCAGGCTGGCTCCCGGTCTGCCAGGCAGGGGGGCCGTCCCCAGAACTCCTCTCAGCCTGGATGCTGACGGCAAGTCGAGGTGGCCGGAGCGGCCGGAGTGTGTGGCAGGGAGGAGAAACGGAGTTGCTGAGTAGAAGAGCCGGGGCCTGGGAGGCCGTGGAGGCAGCTGGCGGGCCCGGGGCCGGGCGGGGGGGACGTCCGTCTTGGGGGATGAGCAGAGACTTGTCCGAGACCTCGAGCGCTGGAACGGCTCGGACTGTTGAGGTTTTACGTGGCTCCCTCTGGCTGTTGTGTCTAAAAAGAAAAGTGAAGGGACAAAGGGCAGAAAGGGGGCGCATCAGGAGGGCTCGCGAACCCCACTGAGAAGTGGTGCTGCTGGGGAGAGGTCCGTGCGCTCTGGTGCCGGCCGGTGTGGCCCGGAGTGAGGCGGAAGAGGAAGCCGCAGTGATGAGGCGTCCTCGGGGTGCAGGGAGCAGGCGGGGTGCCCTGCGTGAGGAGGGAAGACGGGGGAGTTCAGTCCTGGGACACGGCAAGTCCTGGGGCGGAGCAGAGACGCCAGCGGACCCGCGAGCCTGGGGTCGAGGCGACTGGGCTGGCGTGGACGCCTGACGGCCCTCAGCCACCGCGGCCGTGGCCGGTGTTCAGAGCCAGCAGGGCCACGAGGGAGGCCCGAGCTGGGGACCCCCAACACGCGGCGGTGAAGGCGGGCGGGAGGACCCCCAGGGGACACGGAGTGGAGGGAGGGACAGACTGGCAGGCAAAGGAAGGGGGCCTCCGGGCCTTGGCGTTGCTGAGGAGCCTCTGGCGGGCTCAGGGCCGTGGTCTGGACACATGTCCTCCTTCGGGCTCACTCGGCCTCGCTCTCGCCACACCCTGGCCGCCTGACCAGCGATGCCTTCCGGCTCCTGGCAGGACCAGGGCGCTGATGGCTGGCGAGGGGCATCTGGGATGTTCTGGCAGAGCCAGACAAGCGCCGCGCGAGCCCGGAGGCCGTGGCCGTCTCGGGCCACTTTGCACCTCATTTGAGAAGCAGCTCCCTGCCCCGCGCCGCCAGCACGCCCTCCCGTGCTCGCCCGCACACCCTCCCAGCTGCCTTTAGGACAGAGCGTGAGGCTTCAGGAGGGCAGAGCAGTGGGTTAAATAAAGCGGGGCAGAGGAGAAGGGCCTGCCCGCTGGGTCTGAGTGGGGCAGGACAGAGCCCGGCCCTGCAGGGCGCGTTCTGTGGGGGCGGCTCCAAGGAACAGGTGTGTTAACAGCAGCGAGTGCGGCTGCTCAGCCATGTTTGTGCACCGGCAGCTGATGCTGGGGTGACCTGGGCACGACCGGCAGGGCCAGGTGTGGGTGAGGGCTGTCTCCTCCCCAGCAGCATGGGGGCCTCCCAGACACTGCCCCCCGTGGAGCCGTGCCATGGGCTCCCCTTTGCAACCAAGCCTGCAGCAGCTGGTGGCGCCTGGGCTTGGGGGGGGCTTTCCCGACCTGTGAGCCCCGCGGGGGGAATGCCCCGCAGTCCAAGGGTGGAGGTGATGGCCGCTGGGTGCGTGCGGGGCCAGGCCGGAGACCCGTAGGTCACGGCCCCAGCTGGCGGCCACCACCTGCTTCAGAGGGATCCTGTGATCATCGCCCGCCTGCGCACCAGGCCCGAGGGCGGTGTGTCCGCCCCTGACGTCCCAGGCCTTCCGGAGGACGCCGGCCCGGGCGGGCATCCTCACCGCCCCACGCAGGGCCCCACACAGCCGGGTCTCTTGACGCCAAGTCTAGTCTCTTTCTAGGACCCCACCCTCACTGCTCCTGGGGTCCCGGGGCCCTCAGCCTCCAGTTGCAGAGCCCAGACAACGACTCGGGGGTCCCCCTGCACCTGGGTCCCTTGCTGTCCCCCCTTTCAGGGCTGTCTTGGCCCTGCCTTGGGGTGCACGGCAGGGCAGATGGGGCGCCGGCCTCCAGGCCTCACCCTTCTCGATGGACTTCCTTTTAAGGACCTGTGTGTGTGATTCATTAATGGCTTGATTTTCTGCAAGATACACAAACATTTTTTGATTGAGAAACATTTTAGAAATGCCGAACATATTCTTGTGATGAAATAGCAGTGACTGAAATTGCTGCTAACTTGTTGGAATTACAATGGCTCTAACCTTTGTTTCATGGTGTGTTTAGCTCAGTCTGCTCTGTCCCGCCTTCTCCAAGACCCCGCTGGCTTTGAAACCTTAGCAGACGCTGTTGGTCCCTGTCACGGATCAGTTGCTTCCCGCGGCCTTAGGAAGCCCTTCTAGAACGTCGCTGAACTGGGGTGTTTGGAGAACACTGTTACTCACCTGTAGGAAAAGAAAAGCCGAACAGATCGCCGCTGGTTAAGCAAGTGGTTAGTGACTCACGAAGCCCCAGGCCCGGGTGCGTGAAGAAGTAAACACCTTGTTTATTTATATAATTTATGTTGACATTCTGAGTCGGGCGCGCCCAGCCCAATCAGACACGCACATCAGGGTGGAAATTCCTAGAATGTTTTTGCACGGGAGAAGCAGTCGGTATCCTGAACCCCCGTCCTAAAGCTCTTCTCCAGGCAACTTTGTCGTGAACCATTAGAAGGTGAAAGACGCTTCTGATGGACTTTGGTCCTGCCGCTCGTGCTGAGATGGTTCAGGAAAAGAGGCACTGGCGCCGCCCCCAGAGGCGCCGGGGTCTTCTGCAAGGGGCTGCTTGGAGGCCGACGTGCTGAGCAGGTGGGCAGGCGGCCCTCAAGTGCAGGCCACGGTCCTCCCCAGCCCGCCTGAGCTGGCCGGAGACCCGGGTGTTGTGTAAAGTGGGTTTGCAAACAGCTGTCTTGGTCACGGGTTCACGCATGAAAATTCCAGATCAACAACTGACGCTGAAGACACCTCTGAGGGTAAGAGCTTCCAGATGGGGCGAGTCTTTCTCTCCACCCTCTGCAGCCTTCACTTTATTTACTTTGTTAAAGATCTATTTATTGATGCATCCAAGAGCTGGGGTACAGGCCAGAGGCGCGGGAGGGTGAGAGGATCCACCAGAGACAGCAGGGAACAGAACAGGCAGGCTGACGAAGTACACTGCTGAGGGGAGCAGCGGGCGAGACAGGCGAGGTCTGCTCACCATGTGGGTCTCTCCCTGGCCGGCCGGGCATGGAACTCGTGCCGCACAGGCTGCGGATTGCTTCCTAGTACGGTGCTTAACCCCGTGCGCCCCCAGGGAGGCCCTGCAGCCTTCACTTTAGAAGGGCTCCGCGCTGGAAACGTGGGAGCACGTGCCCGAGAGTCCTCCGCCCACTTCCCTTCTGACGAGGGCCGGCTCCGCTGCAAAGGAAAACACCGTCCAGAAAGTAAATGTCCATCGGCTCCCTGTAGCCTGTCAACTCGGGCTTCTCGGAAGGAGATGAGGAAGCAGCCTCCGAGGAACCCGGGGTGAGTGGGTGGGACATCGTGAGGGGCCGGCCTCCTCTAGCAAATTGAAAAGTCATGCGGGAGCCGCTGAGCCAACCAGCGCAGAGTCGGGGCGTCCAGAGTCGAGACAGCTCCGCCGGGACGTGGACATGGCGAGTCGTCGGGAAAAGCTCCTGACCAGAGTCCCGAGTAGCTCGAGAAAGAAGCCCTGGACCGGAGGGAAGCACCCCTTGGCCTCTGCGCCCGCCCTTCCCCTGCCGGCGCCCCGGCCGCTCCCGCCGTGAGGGCCTGCGCAGGAGCAAGTGTCGCGGCGACATCAGGAGAGGGGAGCCCACGTCTGAGCGTGTGCGTGCCGGCCGCTCCCGGCCCCGGCGGCCCAGCAGCCTGCGGGGTCATCGTCTCTTTCAGGCCCGAGGCCGCCAGGCCTCTGCTCAGGTGACCGGGACCTGCTGAGCGTGGCTGGGGCCCGGCCTGGACGGTGGTGCTGGGCTCCCCATCCTGCCCGTGGGGGGCAGCGAGGGAACGCGTGGCGGGGCCTGTGAGCGGCCCCTCGGGGCCCCCGGGCCCCCGCGGGGGACACAGACTGTGGGTCTTGAGCACGTAGGAGCTGCGTCTTGCATCCTCTTTCATTTCCAGGCCTTTTTAAGACACTAGCGAACACACCGTGGGGTCGAGGTCCCGTGTCTGCTTCCTGCTGCTGGGAGTCTGTGGTCACGGGGCCGGCCACGCCCGACCCCGCTCTCGGCCCCACAGCCGCCCGGCATGAGTTAGCAGTGGCCCGTGTGGGGTCAGCGCACAGGGGCGGCTCAGGTGGGCCCTGCTCAAGGATTCCCCTTTGTGCTGGTGGACTTGAGCGCCGCCGTGGCCAGCACAGCCCCGGGCTTCCCTGAGGCCGGGTGGCCTGCAGCGCAAGGCGCAGAGAGGCTGCTGGGAAAATCAAGGGCATTAAGTTCTTCAAGAGGTTGTGGAATCCGAGCAGACAGATGCACCTGCACGCACGTTCCTCGGAGGCTGGACGACAGGAGAGAAGAGACTGGCGTTCCCTGTGCTGGCGCCTCCCTGCCGGCCCCGTCACAGCGGGGAGAGGACACGGCGGTCGCGAGCGGAGAAACGGCGCAGGACTGGTGGCCCGGGGTCTCAGCCTGAGCCTCTCAGTCCTTGGGAGACGCGCTTGCCGAGGAGGAAGCTGCCGTTCCAGCTCATGTTGTCTCCACAGCTCCAGGTCTCTTCCAGATTTTCTCCAGCAGGAAGGCCGGGCCGGGCTGAGTGCTCTCAGCCGCGCTCACGGGCAGCCCCTGCAGGGGAGACGCGTCAGGCGTGGGTCAGGGTCCAGCTCGTGCCTTCCCTCGGCGTCCACCCGCCATCGGGGTGTTCGCGGTTTGCCCGCGTCGTGCTCCCTGCTGAAAACCCAGAACCGAAGCAGTCGCTGCTCCTCCCCGAAGCTCAGGCTGAGAGAGAAAGGAGGACGGGAGGCCCCGGCGGGGCGGCCCGGGCTGTACAGCAGAGCCGTGGCTTTGGAAAGGTGCCGCCGCCGTGGTGTCTCGCTCAGTGGCATAGACGCCGCTCCCACCGCCGCCCTGGGAAGCCGGACACGTTGTCCCAGAACAAGCCTCCCAAGGTGGTGGGTGCAGCACTTGCCGCCAGAGGCCTCCCGTGTCCTGCCGCCTGCTGAGAAGGGCGTGCGCCCCCCGGTCCTCCGTCCCGCACTCACTGTCCACTCCCGGGGCTGCCACAGCCCTGGGCCTGGGCGTTCCTGCCTCCCCCGGGGTGTCGCCCTGCGTGCACACCCAGCTCCGGAGGCCAGTCCCCGCCCGCCCCGCGTCTGCCCGGGCGAGGGGTGGCCGCCCACCCATAGCTGCCATGCCGAGTGGGCTTGCGTGAGGCGTGCCCGTGGGCCCCTCCTCCTGGCGGGTCTTGCTGACACCCACCTACCCCGCGGGTGCCCTGGGGCCCGGCAGAGCAGCACTGAACACCTGCTGGTGCTCGTGCAAGTGCTCAGGACGCTGCAGCCCCGGCGGCCACACCTCAGAAAGGGGCTGGTTGGGAGCAGGGAAGGCGCAGGCCAGGCCTGGTGAGCAGCTGACGTTCAGGCTGAGGCCGGAAGGGTCAGAGGAATTCAGGCCCAGGAAGAGCAAACATAGGCTTGGGGGCTGGGAGAAGCCGGGGGCACTGCAGGGCTTCCGGGCCTCTGCGGGGGGTGGGCACACAGGCACACAGGCGCGTGACCCGGAGGACGGGGCTCCGCGGCCCATTCCTGGGAGCTTCCTGTCGCCAGCCTGCGGTGCTTTGCTCCCACGTACCGCAAGCTGCCTCGTGGCGTTCCCAGAAAGGGCCTGCGTGCCCCAAGCACGTTCCCAGAGAGGCGTCAGGGCCCTCGCAGGCCAGGCTGTGTCTGGGCCGCTGGCCGGTCATGTCCGAGCCTCCGTGAGTCTGCCCAGCCCTGGCGTGCTGGCCCCTGCGGCGGCAGAGTGGGCCGGGCGGTGCGCTGCCGCGTCTCCAGCGGCGAAGTTAAGGTTCCCGAGCCCCTCGGGGCGTGGTGTCTGGGGCTCGGAACACCCCGCGGGGCGTGAGACCGGCAGGAAGAGTGAGCATGCAGAGGCCCACCCCATCCCGGAGGCCGCCGAGGAGAGGGGATGAGGGGTACCCCGGCTCTCTAGCTCTAGGGTGGGGGCGAGGCACCCACGCGCCAGCCGGGCTTCTGGAAAATGGGGAGAAGGGTCTCGGCCTCAGGTTTGACACGGGCTTTGTGGGAGCCCCGGCGCCCGTGGGCAGGGATGGTCCTGAGCAGACAGCAGGGTGGGAGGCCGCAGGGAGGCAGCTGGGTGGCCGGCGCCCTCCGGCGCGATGCTGTGCTTACCGGCTGCTGCTCTGGACACTCCGCCTGCTCTCGCCGGCCGAGCTGCCTGATGGTGTGACATGAGCATCAAATGCAGGTGCTTGATTGCCTTTGACTCTTTTTCCTTAAGAACTTCTTAACTTGGGGTGCTTTAATGCCAGACTATCCACAGGCTCGCCAGGATGGTCAACCCCTCTGGCCGGCCGTGCGCCCCCGGGGAGGGACGAGCCGCAGGCTGGGCTCCGCTCCTGGGGGACGCCCCGCGGCCGGCCCCGGAGGGCTGCAGCATTCCTTTCTCACTCCCACTCGCCCGCTCCTCCACTTCCTTCCTGGGGCTTTTTTTAGAAGCGAGTGTGTTTTTCTCACGTCCGGCAACAAAGGATGTTTTGTGGCGCTCCTGAGGTTTGTGTGTGTGACCGACTTTACACCCTTTCTAGAAAGTGCTGTTCCTGTTTGCACTGACTTACAGAAGCGCGTCGTGAGAGAAAGTCTCAGGGAGCTGGTTTTATTTCTGTTTGTTCCTTTGCTGCTCTTGAGCTTCCAGTACGTTTTCCTGCGGGCTTTAAATCATCTGAATAGGCCTCTCAGAATTCCTCCACCAATCCCCACAGCAACGTGGAGACCCCACTCTCCGTGCACTGGTGCTGGTGCTCACTCCTGGGCGCCTCCTCCTCCCCGGGGGCCGCACACGGAGGACCTGGGCCCTGGGCCCGAGCCTGGGGACGCCTCCGTGCTTTGACGTCTGCTGCTCCGAGCGCGCAGACCACGCGCAGACCCCGAGGGCTGAGAGCACGGGGAGCTTCCCGCTCCGTCGCCCACAGTGTAAATCATTTCAGTCCCTCGCGGGCCTTTACCTTTCTGGAAGAAATTGGGGGTGCACACCAGGTTTGCTCTTTCAACGAAGAGAAAAGTAATTAAACAAGGCTGGAGAATTTAGGAGTTCAGAGGCCACGTTCTGTGGCCGCTGCCTACGAGCTCTCCCCCGCAGTGCTGAGGAGGGCAGAAGTGACCCCCGCCGCTGTCCCCATGCCGGCGATGTCCCTCCTGCCTTCGTGCACCCCGCCCGAGGGGGCACGTGGGGGACTCACCCCGTGGGCTTTGTTGCTTGTCTGCCGAGCTGAGGCCGGGGCGTGCGGGTTCCGAGGTCAGTGCAGCGCCTGAGTTCCTTGGCACTTGTCAGGTTGGATCTGTGGCTTCCCGGAGTTATTTTAGCTTCGATTTTCCCCGAGTAGGGTCAATCAGAGAAGATCTAGCAAATCAAAGTCTATTTTCTTTGGCATTTTCTCAGAAACAAAGGGAAGTTGTGGTTCCGATGAGGGTTTCTGCTCATCCTTCCGAATGAGCCTCTTCCCAAGTCCCCTTCCCACGTGGCGAGCCCCGCAGGCGGGCCGGGGCGTGAGCGCGCCCGGGCGTGAGGCGTGGTCCCGAGGCTCTAGAGAGACAGGACACCGGCGCTGTGCGCGTCCAGGCCGCCTCCCCGGGCAGCCAGGGGCAGGCCAGGGACGTCCTCGCCTGGAGAATGGAGACGGTGGGCGGCGAGGGACGGTGGGCCAAGAAACGCCCAAGCCGGGCTGCTGGGGCTTCCGTCCCGGCGGTGGCCTCCTCGCCCCGGGGAGCCCGGGCCAGTGCCATCTCCACGGCACCCCTGGGCGGGGTCGTGCGGGGCCGCCTCGGGGCTTGCTGCGCCTGCGCAAGGGGAGCGTGAAGGTGAAGACCGAGAGCAAGGCCTGCGGAGGGCGGCGTGCCGGGGCACCCTCTCATCCCTGTGGGGGCACCTGTGGTGTGGGGGCACCTGTGGCTTCTGCAGGAGGCCGGGAACTATCCCAGTATTTCCACAGAGAGCTCGGCGGGATGCGAAGCGTTTGTCAGTGCCTAGCACACTTTGGCTGACTGTGTGTGTGTGTGTGTGTGTGTGTGTGTGTGTGTGTGTGTGTGTGTGAAATAGAGAGAGCCACAGAGAGGGAAGTGCTGTTACCCACAAACACGAGTCACGCAATTTCGTGGGTCAGCGTCTCCAGAACGCAGCGGCTCCCCGCAGGCCACGCGCCGGGCGAGTCTCACGCCCCTGGCTGCTGTCAGGCACGTCCTCTGCCCGTGTTCGTCTGTCTTCCCACTGGAGCCTTCTGTCATTTCCAGCTGTGCCTGGACCTCCAGTCCCCCCAAACCAGGGGGTCGCCCGTGCCGGCTGCTCCCGCCACGCGGCCCAGGCACCCCTGACGTCTGTGCTTGGCTAGAAACCTCATTCAGAGGAACAGTCGTGCGGCCACACTCCAGCTCGCTGGCAATTTGCATCCCGAAAGCCGAGCTGTGCAGCGAGTCGGATCACGATGCGTTTCCCACAGCACCGTCCGCGCAAGCCCGCCTGCTGCCCGGGTCTTGGAGGAAGGAGGCACCACAGGCCGTCAGCCCGCGACTGCTCACCAGGGCCTCCGTGACAGTCCGGGGGGCGGGGGCAGCTCCTCGTCCCCTCCCCCCTTCTGTCTGCTGTGGGGACAGGGAGGAGTTTGGGGAGACAGTTTTATTTGGTCAGCTCCGGCCTCTGCTTCCCGGGTGAATCAGGGGCAGAAGAGAAAAGGGGGTGTGGGAGGGGAGTAACGATCCCCTGTGTGTGGGGGTGACGTGTGCACGTGAGCTCATTGACAGGGATCTAAGCTGCTCCCCTTGGGCACTTGCTTCACGGTCCCCAACCTCCCTGCACCCCACTGACCTCGCCGCAGTCGGCCAGGACCACGGTTGGGGGGAGGGGAGCCCAGTTATCTCTGTCAGGTCTTGCAGCCACACTCGGCGTAAGCCAGGCTCTCGGGGGCAGCCCTGGCCCGGTCTGCAGAGAGGTGCTCTTGGGGGGCTCATGACGTCACTGTCGCCAAGCGAGACCCACTCAGGTCAGAGCTGGGTCAGATGTGGTGGTTCCCAGGCCTCCCTCGCCCTGAGTCTGCGTGCAGGCAGCCCGAGCACTTTGCCACTGGGGGTGCCCACCCGCGACCCTGTACCAGAGCAGCAAGAGGCGGCCACCCCCTCGCCCTGCGAGCTGCTGCTGCGACATCAGCTCCGCCACTCACGCGGCAAACACTCCCTGGGCGCTGGCCCCGAGCCAGGCGGCCTTCGAGGTGGAAAATGAGTCTGCCAAGCTGCCCACCCAGGTGGTAGCCCCTCTGCCAGGCAGCAGCGTGCGGGCATGGGGACAGTGCAGGCAGGGATAGCTCTGTTGCCACCCAGGGGGCCGATTTCACACACGACGGCCCGGAGGTGTCGGGAGGAGGGCCCAGCACAGAAAGCAGGGCACCCAAAGACCCCGGCCCGGGGCATCTCTGGCTCCACTGCCCCTGCCCGGTCCCCTGGGGGCGAGGCAGCGGGGCGGCAGGTTGCGTTCAGGAAGCTGTGACCAGCATTGGAAGGGGTTGTACTTCTAGGTACTGTAGGCCATGCTGGGGGCCCGTCCCCAGGCCGAGCAGGGGTGGGATTCGGGGAAGGGCTGAGCCAGGGAGGGCTCCAGGTGTGTGGCCTGGGCAGGCGGAGCTGACGTTGGTTGAGCTGGGGGTTTATTGGAACCGCGGGTTGAGCCACGCAGGAAGCGGGGGGAGGCGGGACTAGGGTATCCACTGGGGAGAGGTAAGTTTGCCGTGCCTGTTGCTCATCAGAGGGTGTCAGGTGGGCGGGCGGCCCCCTTCGCTGGGATCTGTGGGCGAGGGCGGGCCTGGAGGACGCGTCTGGGTGTCGAAGGCCACGAGCAGAAACAACGGCGGTGGAGATGAGGGAGCCGTTGGGCTGACCGCCCAGGGTCGCCGGTTCTCAGCGGTCAGAGAAGGGGGGCCGGGCGCGGAGACAGGAGGGGGCGCGGGAGGAGAGGGTGCCCGTGCCGGGGAGGACGGTCTGGGCGAGGAGCTGCTCGCAGGCCGAGCACAGGTGGTTGATCACGTTCGGAGAAGGCCGGGGCCAGAGCGTGCAATTTCGAGGGAGAGCAGCCGTCCCGCCGCCGCCGCCTGCGCCCGGGCCGGGGCTCCGCTGGGGTGGACAGACGCGGTCATCCCGGACGGACTCCCTGGAGACAGACCCCGTCTGCCGACCCAGTGAGAAGCTAAGATCGCCCCCGGGAGACGCAGCCTCTTCTGTCTCGGAGCCAGACTGGGAGTGTGCGGGTTGGGGCGGGAGTGTCGGGGTGCGAGAGTGAGATCACTGCGCCCCTGTCCCGGCCACTGAGCACCTCTCTTGGGGTCCTTCCTCTCACGGACCCCCCCAGCTCTTCTCTGGCCCCCGCTCTCCTTCCTTGGGCGCCATCACACTGCTTCCTGGGGGCGCTGCTGCTGTCTGGACCCGGCTGCACACCAGGGCTCGGCCGCTCCGGGGCCAGGACGCCGGGAGCGAGGGGTTCCCATCCCTGCCTCAACTGAAGCTGCCGCAGCCCGGGAACCCCAGGTTCCAGCAGCACCCCGAGGGCGTCCCATTAGCAGGTCACACGCAAGGTTGTCTTTGCAGAATTCCTCTCTGTTTTGATCCTGCTGTAGGTGAAGATCAAAGCAACTGTCCTTGTTTCCCTTGGAATGAACCCCCAAGACAGGGAGGTCTGGGGGAGCTGCTGGTCTGAGGGAGGAGGTGCCCCGCTCCTGGCGACAGGCTGGTGCGAGTCCGGCATGGACGCGGCCTCCGACCCCACGCAGCTCCACGGGCCTGACGATGTGGGGAGCAGAATTCCTGAGGCGAGGCTGCAGGGAGCATGTCCTGAGCTTTCTCCTGGGTGCATGTGGGAACCCAGGACCATTCCTCACCAAGGAAGTCAGCTGCGTTGCGCTTCATCTAGTTTTTACGGCACAGTAAGGAAAACTCACTGGCTTTGTATTAAAGGCCCTGAGCGCGTGCTGTACCGTGGATGCCGCCAGAATGACCGCTTTCAGGGGAGTTTGTGATACCTTCAGGAGGGAACCATGTCTGACGCCCCAGATGGAACCAGTCCCTTGCACTTTAGTGCATCCCTGGCATTTTGTACCTGTTACCCCCAGGTCCCTGAAAGGAAATCATGCTTTTGTGTGTGATGTAGCATATACCATTCACCCTGGAAAGCCTTCTTAGCCTTCAAAATCCAGGATATGTTTAGTGAGTGGAAGGATGAGGTGCATTGTCAAAGGGGGGGCTCCCTTGAACGGATCACCTTCCCATGAGCCCACATGCTTGGCTCATTGTGGGCACATACCCAGCTTTAGCCCACGCCTCCCTGTTGGTTCCTCC